CTCTCTCTCTCTCTCTCTCTCTCTCTCCCCCCTCCCTCTCTCTCTCTCTCTCGTGTTTTGACAGTGCACTACAAAGAGAATGGTGAAAGGAGAGCTCCAAGGTAAAAAGATGGTGTTTCCGAGGACCAAGAACCTCCGCGAAATTACCCCACCTTCAACGATTGAATGTCATGTTTGTAATATCTGTCTATCTATTTGTCTAGAATACAAAAAGGATCTATCTATCAAGAATAGACGGAATGAATGTATCTATCTAGAAGTTGGTGGTCCCGACTTAAACTATGGTATTTGATGATGGTGGTCGCTAACATGACAATGGCGATCCTTATGATGATGAAGATGAGGTACGATGAGTCGTCCTCGACACTGTTCAAGGCGTGCACTCGACAACCATTGACGATGATTACACCAATAATCGCCATGATATGAGGATGATGATGATGATGATAATATACGACGACGACGTAGGATCAGTCCTCTTGAAGCTGTTCAATGCATACCCACGATGACTACGGTTATGATTACAAATGTTAATGATGATTATTACTATGATGATGATGATGAGAGGTGGAGCAGGAGGTGGAGGGGAAGGAGGACATTGACAGTGTTGATGGGGATGATGGTGATGAAGGTAGAATGGTTGTGATGACGAGGCTGGTTGGCTAAGACGGTGATCGTGATACTTGTTGATCATGTGGATATGACCGATCTGATGATCAAAGCGGCCACGCGGACGCCGATCACTCATCGATCACGACGCCGCGTAGACGCCGACACCTCCTGGATTCCGATCACGACACGACGTGTCGTGGACGCATAACACAACAGTTTGAGGTTTGTTGATAATACACACACACACACACACACACACACACACAATATGACGATCGAATTCACCGAGGCGGGGTATAGCGATGGTGGAGGACGAGGGGCAAGAGGAGGAGGAAGAGGGGTATGAGGAGGAGGCGGAAGAGGGGAGACAGAAGGAGGTGCGGGAGCAGTAGGGAGAGGAAGAGACGGAGGTGGGCGAGGATGAAGGGTGTGGTGGAGTGTTGAAAATGTCTGTTCTCAGCAAATGCAGGGCAGCTACTCTTGCCACATGTCATTCTACATTGCACTTAGGTGCCACGTCTCCGCCAGCTGACATTGGACGTGCCTTCAAGCGGACATGGAGCCCCAACACAGATACGGTTGGCACGTGTCTGCGAGCTGACGTGCCATGTGTCCGCGAGCTGATGTCCCACGTGTCCGCGAGCTTTTGTTTTGTTGTTCAAATTTTACCGTAGTTTTTGAGGGGATCACGGTGTCAATGGCCGTTTGTTTTTTTTTCTTAATTCACCGGGGACAGCACATTGCTGTCACATCGAATGACATGAAACAGGACATCGATCAAATGTTGAATACCCGGTCTAGACCGGGACGGGTGAAAGAACGGATAAGAACTTGCTGGGCCATGTGGCCAGGATTGCGACCGATGCAACGCGTCGCTACGTGGTGCCCAATATTGACATACGGACTGACCTCTCAGAATCATAGGCAAACTCGACTCATGACATAAACGAAGGAAGAAAAAAAAAAAAAAAAAAAAAAAAAAACTCAGACCTTCACTCGCATGTGGCAAGCTAAGACCTCCACTCGAATCAAGGGCACGCATAACCCAGAGCGTCTTCTCCTCCTGGTAATGACCCTGGCACCACTGCTGGCTGCTTTTGCGTCATGTGGCGCATACAGTCGGAGTTGCAGCAACACCTGTGACCTTTAAGTTGACAGACGCATCAATCCACCCTCACTGAAAGCGTTTATGGTGTCCCCGCCTGCGACCTGACACAACTGTGGCAAATCTCTCCATTGCTATATCTGTGTGCATGTTGTCATCTTCAATATGCCCAGGAGGCGTTTTGTACATTTGTCTCACCACATTTGCTGCCAGAGTCAGTTCAGAAGGTCTATACCCAAAAAACGAAACAATTGGCACCTCAACTTTACTTCCTCCTGTTGTCGTAGCAAATCCCTGCATGGCTAGTTGCGTGGAAGGCTGCAGCGATCTGCATGTAACGGATGTATGCAGACATCTGTCGAAGCCATATCAGTACCGACAACATTCCAAATACACTCCCGGCTTCATTGGACAGGCAACGACATGTGCTTGTTCGTTGCATGGTGCTACTACTCTCCAGTATGATAATGGCAGCCATAGCCGTAGTCGCACCATTGGAGTCAAGCCCCCAACTTGACCGCACATGTTATGGTTTGTGTTCACTGGTTGTGGTACTACTCGTCCGATGAGTCTGTCCATATTCTGATGCCGTGTTTTGTTCCTTGTAGGTTTTACTGTCTTTCAATTGTGTTGTCCGCTTCGATAGACGATCGCCAAGACACTGTCCCGAATAACCCGCTGCAAGCGTGCTAGGCCGTTGAACCACACAATCCGACAAAAATGGAGGGACACGGGCATTTGACTCAAAGAAATTCTCCCGATCCAGAATGTCTGCAACATGAAATTGACCTTCTGTCGCAGATATTCAGATTGTTGGAAAGGGAGGTGGATTGTGTGTGCGAAACACTGATTCGCAGGGGCGATTTTGTGGTCATCAATCTGCTGGCAGATAGAGATGTGTCACGTGTGGGTGTTGTGCAACCTCGTGGGTGTGCGCTGGAATGGGTGGCAAGGGTGAAAGGCCGACTGAGAACAACACATGAGCAAACATTTGCTCTTTGTCGACAATACGTTGTGCTGTATGAGATGACAACCGATAACTTATTTGCATATCAGGTTCTGCAGGACGAGTTGCGAGGCAACGCAAGGGAGAGAGAGTACGAGATGTCGATGTTGATTTTAGAGTTGTCGCGTTCACGGAACACTTGTCATCATCTTGCGCAGCAGGTGGACGCCCTTATGGAGAACATCGCGTCCCTACTACACGGTATTTTGCAGATCGAGGAGTTAAAGGACACCGCCATGCTTGCGTCGCACAACCGTGTTTTGTCGTTCATCTTCGTTTTGCCCCGTGTCCTTTGGAAGTTGTCATGTTTGGTCCGCTCAATGACGATGCCCGTGTT